ACATTACAGAGAAGAAGCAGAAGAAGAACAAGAAAACGAAGAAGAAGAAGAAAACAAGAAGAATTAGAATCCGACATGGAGTGCGTATTCGGATTGGTCGGAAATGGGTTCGCGATCGTGGTGGCGGATTCATCGGCGGTGCACAGCATCCTCGTTCACAAGTCCAACGAAGACAAGATCATGGTCCTCGATTCCCACAAACTCATCGCCGCTAGCGGTGAACCCGGAGACAGGTATCTAGGATTAGGGTTTCCTCTCCCACTCTTTTTTAATCTTCTTCTTTTCTCTCACTCGCTTTCGTTTTAGGGTTCAATTCACAGAGTACATTCAGAAGAATGTCGCCTTGTATCAGTTCCGTAACGGCATCCCTCTCACCACCGCCGCCGCTGCCAATTTCACACGTGGAGAACTTGCCACCGCTCTACGCAAGGTATCTTCCAAACCCTAGTGCCCATTCTTTTAACGTTCGTAGGTTCTGTTTGTATTAAGTGCTCACGAATCAGCATATAAAACTAACTGAGCTTCTCCTTAGCCCTAAATCAATTTATGCACTTAACTTCTGTAGAAGCTATCATATCTGATTCCTCCGATTTAGCTCATGGGAGTTTGATTCATTTTGCATTCTTACTCGGTGTTTATGGAGAAGCTTCTCCAAACAATGCCTTGGCTATGCAATTAATTTGGTGTCTCAAATATTAATCTGTCTTTTTGTTTAGAACCCCTACTCCGTGAACATCCTTCTTGCTGGTTATGACAAAGAGACTGGTCCTGAACTGTACTACATTGACTACATTGCAACCCTTCACAAGCTTGAAAAGGGGGCTTTTGGTTATGGCTCCTATTTTTCGCTCTCAATGATGGACAGACACTACCATAGTGGAATGTCAGTTGAAGAGGCAATTGATCTCGTTGATAAGTGCATTATGGAGATCAGATCCAGGCTGGTTGTTGCGCCACCCAACTTTGTTATTAAAATTGTTGACAAGGATGGTGCAAGGGAGTATGCGTGGCGTGAATCAGTCAAGGACACTCCTGTTCCTTCCGCTTGAGTAACCGTCCCTAATTCTCATCGGACTTTATTCCATCTGCCTATGTTTTTATCCTTTTTACAATTTTTTTTACTGGTCTTGTAATGTCTCTGAAAATCATGGTCTATAGATGATGCACTTAAGTAAGACAGTTTATCATTTGAATTAATATGAACGATGAATAGTTCTCTGCCAGAAATGAATTTATTGTGAGGTAGGCTTGATTTTTATGGATGTGGATACTGGCTCCTCCTTGTCTTTGCTGTTGTGGAATGATCTTTCAAGTGTTGTATTCACCCCAGGATTTTAGTTATTTAGGATGTTGGCCAATCTTACCACAGTACAGTAGCAAGTTGTGCAGATGCAGTCGTGTTGGAAAATCATTTGAGAAAAATGTTTAGATAACTCAGTGGTAATGGTTTGTGTGTGTATGTTTAATAACATTCATTCGTTTAATTACCGTTAACAAATTAATATGCTTGTTTATAGAAAGTCCCACTTTCATTTTCAAATAATAAGTATAAATTTTAAACTAAGCAAGGCTGTCACACCCAACAATGTCTAAGTCCACCATACTGGCTTTCCGCATCAAGTTTTATGTATTTTTAATAGAAACTAAATGAATACTATACGATCCATTTTAGTGAATACATTACACAACCCCTTTAGATTTCCAGTGATTGAGTGAATTCCACTAACTAAAAAATGCATGAATCCACAGTGAATCTGTGTGTATCTGAATGATATCTCCAAACAGCCTCTGCATAAGCTTTAGGATGCTGAGCAGATGAAGAGGAGAACAGTTTACCTTGGCCAGGTGTTCCTTTAAGGTAGTTAAAGAAATTGTATGCTTGTTCATTTGAGGAACTTTTAGGTTAGCCAAGATATTGAAAGTAAGAATTTTTTGGCCTAGAAATGATAACGTATTGCAACCTTCCAAGCAGTTTATGATATTATGAAGAATTTGGTGGTAGCACCTTCATGGGCACTTCCCTTCATTACATTAGCAGAAATGGTGGTTTGCAATGAAAGAAAAGAGTATCCTCTAGCATCGATAATACATATTTTCCTTAGAACAGATATATTCTTTGCTTGGAGTTAAGCTAAATCAATGCCTGAGAAAGTGCTTCAAGTTGCCAAGGGTTGTGTTTGGGATGTTTTCTTGAGATGCTGATTTGCTTGGTTGCAATTGGACTTAGCCTAATTATTATAATATCGCCCACAAAGAGCATTAGAGCTACATAACTTGGCCCCAATTCGAAATTTGGTGAGATGAATAATTAGATTTAGATTGATTGAGTGAGCCTTGGTCAAGGATAGCCGCTGAAATCTTGGTAGACTATTCTCTAGAGGCCTGGTTCAATCCATAGATGAACATGTGTAATTTAGAGACTGTATTATCCACCTCAACCTTCTCGAAAAGATTGCCTACAAAAGCATTCTTGATGTATACTTGAAGTAATTGCCAGCCTTTTATTGCTGCTGCCAAAGACAAGAACCCTTATTATGGTTAATTTTACAACTGGCTTAGGTGTCTGAAATCTATGCCAACTTGTTGATCGAATCCCCTTAGCTATCTTGACTTAAACCTTTCTGAAGTGCTAGCTGCCTCGGTGTCAACTTTACTGATCTATCTGCAACTTATTAAATTTGTGCCATAAGGTTGGACAATAGACCATGTATTATTTGTCTCCTAGGCTGATTACTCTTCTTGCATGGTTACCTACCATTTAGGAAACTCGGCAGCTTTTAGGGATATAAAACAGGTTCGTGGGTTTTGGATACTTACGTTCCAAAGGAATTTTATACGAGTGACAAATTATCATAGGAATTGTGGTTAAGTTATAGGACAGTATTGTACTGATAGTTCTGGAGGTAAGTTCTTGAACAGAAATAAACAGACCAGTCCACATTTAAGAGATGCTGGTACTTTCTTTCTAGCAAAGCACTGTTAAACCTTTCGTAACATTTTAATGAAAGTATTACAAGAAACTGAAAATAATTATTGAAGGTGAAGACACAAGGTGAAACACGTAATTGCCTTGTTACACATCAAATCACCTTTGGCAATCATCTTCAAGGATGTGTCACTGACTGAAATAAGTTTGTCAGTAAAGGATGGAGTATAGTAAAGGAGTGAAAAAGCCTCTTTTAGAACTATTTGCTTGAATATAATACGCGTCTAATTTTGATTCGGTAAAACGACATTTAATTTGAAGTTTCCCTTTATTATAATTTATATTTGATGAGTGGAAATCACTCGTAAACAGTACACGAGATAGATGAAATATTACATTGCAGATTTTATATCAAAAGAACGTCGATTAATATTATATTCATATGTATATTAATGGAGTGAGCAAAATTTAAAAACAAGCCAGGATTGTAAAAGCTTGAATCCTAGCATATGTTATACAGGACTCTACTCAAGCTGCTAAATTGAGTACAGTGCTAAATTAGAAAGTGCTAAATTGATTTGCCAATTATCACAGAATTTTTAAACAATTTGCAGTTAGTAGAAATTTTAACCAATTAACATAGCTTATTATATATCATATAATAATAGTTATAATTTATAGGTACCAAAATGAAATAAAAAAATAAAACGAAAGATAATAATCGATTAGTACACCATTGTCACCAAAATAACATCAAAATTCGGATTAAGTACAAATACCGATAGTCCGGGACAATTATCACTGAGCAGTACGGTTTAATTGACGAATGTATGTTATCTTATAATCAAGGATAGAATAATGTCCTTGATTGCATTTTGTCGGTACAAAACCGTTTGAAAAGGAAATATTACTCATTTATTTAATTAACATTTAAAAATAATTTACATTGAACCAAAAGATAAATATAAATAATAATTTTATATACATTTTAGGTACATGATAAAATGGCATGATCCGGATTCAATAAAAAAGAGCATTTTAGAAAGCTCTCTACAATTGGTTAAGTAAATCTCTAGTTTAAATTTTGGGAATAATTTGCTTGGAATTTCGAGTGAATTATTGGATATCGGATTAGGTAATTTGCTTGGACATTGGAAGAAATAAGTGCTAAACCAAAAAGGAGGACAACAGAAATCGTAGGATTTTATCGTTCAATCCAAACTTATGTTTATGCTCAAACTCATTAAATATGATTGAAGCTACAGGAAGCCAAAATTATGACCAGCTTGCACTGTGGTCAAAACTGAAATGAGTGCAAAAAACCCTGATCCTATTAAAGCTAAAAAAAAGTGACAACTTGTTAATTCAGCCTCTGCTTACTCTTGGTTCTTCTCATCTTTGCCTTAAATCTTGATTTCGCCATCAGAGTCTGTACTGTATTTGCAAAGTTCCCGACAGCCATTAAGACCAACAAAACACCGCAAAATATTACCTGCCCAAGAGTTTCTATTATTATAAGTCTAAGGCTAATCTATGCAACAAAGTATTATTGGATTTATTTGCTTCTGTTCCAATCAACAAATTGATGAACGAGCGAAGAAAGCAAACACAAACAAACTAGTACCTGCCACTCAGAAACAACCCCAACAACTGCAGTCCGGAGCAACAAAAGTCCAACATATGCCTCAAATCCCTGAACCAAGATAGGAGCACAAATATGTTCCATAAGTGTCAAACATATATTATGTTCAGGTCAATGACTTTCAGGATGTGAATAAAAACACAACTTCCGTTTTAAAGCAAATTAACACAATATTTGCTTCCCAAATAATCATCTGTCGCACAACACAATATAAATCATGAACATTCTAGGAACTTTAATATCAAACAAGAATATAACTAATGTAACATATATCATAGCAGCCATTTTGTTACCTGCAACGTGAAGAGTATGGGACACAACAACCACAATTGGCCGTCCACGCCAGCTGTTTCCCCCCACACAACATCCATCCTCTTAGCCTAAAATAAGAAAAACACAGATTAAAACTATATATCTATTTTTAGTCCAACTCTTTGATTTAACTACAAAAATAATGCAACAGGGAAAATTTTTAATCATATGATTGTAAACAAATTTGTAAAGTTATGAACAGACTTATGTAACAGCAAATAGTGAGTCAAAGAGTTTGTCTGATGGCGGGTAAAATATAACTACAATAGGAAAGGAAAAACACAAGTAAAGAAATAGTATTTTCAATGCTGGCACCTTTCCCAGTGCAATACGAGTGTAAAGTCTTTGGCGTTGATATCTATTTTGCAAAAGCATTGCAACTCCTTGCATCATAGCCCACTGTAAGAAAAGTTGTACACCTCTCTACATGCATTATTGAAACATGAATAATAGTTACAAAACGAGCAAGTAAAAGGAAGAAAAACCTATATTCACAGGCGTAGGAGACTAACCTGCTTTTTTGAACAATCAGGCTGTCCTTTAATCTCCCAAGTGAGACTTACGAGGGCCATTATCATAGCACAATAATGATGATATATCCACCTGTAACCGTACAATAAGTTTATTTGCCAAGAGATTCTCTTCCATGTAAACCAATCTTAACACTCCACCCTCCCCCAAAATGTCATGTAAGGGTGACCACGCAAACTAAATACAATTCCTCTCGTTTGTAACTTTCTCTCTAAATGAGGAGAAATTTTAGATGGGAATTGAAATTAAGAAATGTAAGATACCATCTTGACAGAAAATGTCAGAAAAAATTATTAGCTCTAAGTGTTATAATTAATTGCTTTGTAAAACAGACATCGCAACGCACTAAAGAACCAAGCTAAGAAAAGTCTGTCCTGCAAAATATACGAAAGAATAAAACACAGAATATCTGCCATTTGACAACATTCAACTGAAACCAAACACCAACCAAAATAACAGTTCTGGAACACCACTATATTCTGCTAACCAGGAAAACCTCAAAAGCAGCTGGAGGAAAATGACCTTTAAGTCAGATGCACATATCCAACACTCTACAAATAGTGCAAACAATTAATTTATCTCTAGTATGGACAAGCTACCTGACAACAGAAAAAATTATATTCCAATTCGTTAGATAGATTTTGTAACACTACAAATTTCAATTGAAAGTACCTTCTGATGCCTACAAACACGTCAAAGAATCAGTGTTAAAAGTCTTATTGTATCACAATACCAAGACATCAATTTAGTGGTTGCTTAAGCAGTGCACCGAGATATTTGGGAAGGTTCAAGAAATGGAGATCACAAGTATGTGACCATTAAGGTGGATACATACAAATTATAATTT